TCAAAATCAAATCAAAGCATCAATCGTGCAACGAAACCGCTTCCTACGCTCAGGAATAATAAAAACATCAAATAATAATAATAATAATAACAATAATAATAATAATAAACAACAACAGTAGCTAATAATAATAATAAATAAACAATAATAAATAACAATAATAAATAATAACAATAATAATAATAACTTGGTAAGTCGCAGCATCCAGTTTGGACAACGCCAAAAAAAGTAAATTATTCTGCACAACATACAATAACGCTGGCACTCCCACTTTCATTGTCTCCTTCGATTTCACAATCACTTCATTGTAAATTTCACTATAAAACCCAGAAAAGCTCCAACCTGAAATTAATAACAGTAATAAATAACAACCAACAACAATAATAACAAATAATAACAATCAACCAACACCACTAATATTCAATTTAAAAAATCAACACCTTCACCCTCCCCCCCTCCCAACGCATCTCTACTGCTACTACTTCCCTAAACTTTCCCGGGTAAACCATACTCCCCCCCCCGCCGCCCTTCCCAAAAATACCCTTCACCCAGACAAAACACCCCAAATCCGGACAAACCTCCCCCCGAACCTATCAATAATCAACGATATCACTCACTGTGTTGTGCGGCAATCACCACTAGGCACGTGAAAAGTTTCACTGCCTCTGCNCAATATCAGCACCAGAGCCGTTGTCTGTGCTATCAACACTACGAGTGATACCCATTTCAAGTTGGCTGGCTTCGCGAGTGGACCTGCCATTCCCGAAACTACTGCCGAATTTTTCCTAAAATTTTCGCGAGAAAATTGACCAGAAATTTGAAAACACCAACCCAAAATTGAAAAAAATTGACCCAAAGTTGAGAAAATTTCACCTGAAGCTGGAAAATTTTAACCTGAAATTTTAAAAAATATCACCAATTCGCCTACTAAACTGCATAAAATGTTAAAATAATCGTAACAATAAGAATTTTGAAGGAAAGTCTAATCGTAAGGTGTACAATGAAAAATAAAACTAAATGCGGTCTAAAGCAATGCTGAGTGCTCGCTAATAGATCTATTGATAAGATAATCTGATCGTTTGGGTGAAACCGAACCGTCACTTTATCACAGCATATAAATAATAAAACAGTTCATCTAAGAGGATTATCAATCAAACTATAAACATGAAACTGCAAACTACACACTGATAAGAATCACCCAATGATAAGACTGATGAAGGCAGAGTGATAAAACAAACGAATCAAAAACAATAATTTAATCACCCTTTAGATGGTTTCTCTCCTATTGGAGGCGGCAACAACTTCACTTCGTCGCTACTCGACGCCGAACCCATTTTGACTAGTACTAAAAGATTTCAAATTTCGCCCGAAATTTCGTAATTTCCAAAAATTTTTTTGAAATTTCCAAAAAAATTCCAGCTTTCCGAGGTTCAGAAATTACAAATGAATTCCTGAAAATAAGTAAAAAATCTCTTGAAAAGTTAAAAAGCTGAAAGGAATCTCGACAGTCAAAGCATTCGTCAAACATTCATGAAACAATCAAAATAACACTAACAATAAAAACAATAATGAAGATAATAATAATAATAATAATAACAATAATAATAATAATAATTTTAAAAATAAAACCAGTAATAATAATAACAATAATAATGACAATATCAATAAAAAATAACCATAATGCAATACAAAGACGAGC